GGTGGAAATTATCAAGTTTCCCAGTTAGGTTGGTGAAGACGGTCCGAGTCTCCGCTCCGTACAGGAGTGTCATGAGGACGACGGCCTTGTACATATTCACATTCGTGGACAGCTGTAGGCCGTGACGGTTCCACACGTAGGCTGGAAGCCGGCCAAAGGCTTCGCTGGCTTTGGAGATCCGATAAGCAACCTCGGATCCTCGATCCTGGTGTTGCGGGATAGCGTGCTGCCAAGACAGGCGAAATCGTTCGCGATTGTGGGCTCTGTGCCGTTGGCGTTGATAACTGGAGCTGTGTAATAAACACTGGGCGGCGGTTTATGTATAAACACCGTTTTCTCCTTGTTAATTGTAAGACTGAAATTTGCACAGACGGCGGCGAAGAGTTCCATACTCCTTTGCCCGTCTGCATCTGGTGTGTTGTTGAGAGCGCAATCGTCCGCTAAACTCAGGTTTTGAACCGTGGTCGTGGAGATGCGCTTGGTGGCCTGCATGCATGGCATGTTGAGGAGGCGCCCGTCCGTTCTATAGTTACTGCGGATCCCGGGACGCTCGTCATGATAGGCATCCATCAGCATGACAGAGCGTATACGCGATGACACAGCCTTGCTTCGCTCCACTGATCACTGCAAAGGCTTCGGAGACCATTCCGTAGTCCGTGACGCATGCCATCATCCTATCGTGGAGCTGACGTACCATATGGGTGAACTGCTCAGGGTAGTCGAAGTTCTGCACGACTTTCCATAGTCCTTTGAGATTGACCGTGTCGAAGGCCTTCATAGGGTCCACAAATATAGTGTAGAGTTGGGTGTGCATCTCCTGGCGCTTCTCCTGCAGTTGTCTCGCGGCGATCATGTTGATGGTGCCGCGATGACGACGAAAACAATACTGGCTTTCTAGCGAGAGACCCAATGTGGACAAATGTGGTGGATAATTTCAACCAATGAACGTGTGGCATGACTGTCCAATATACTGGCGGGCGTTTTAATGTTTTATTTGTCCTGAAGAGTTTCTAAAACTCGACGAAAACACATCCAAGGTTTCTTGAACATTATTTCGCATGCAAATTGAAGGTGTACGCGGCGCGAAGCGCCGCGGACATTACTAAACTAAATCCAGAACGGTAAGTTGGACCTGGGGTAAGTTGAAGTAGACGACCTCCTAACCACCATTTTAATTTTTTGTGCAACTGTAGTGGGTCGTCGCCCGTCCGATGTCTCGCTTTCCCGTCGTGGCCTCAATCTCTCTGGAGCTCAAGGTCATTTCAGTCGCTAGAGTTACTAGCGCGCGTGACGTGGACCACCCAACACGCTGTCCGTCCACACGCTGTCCAACCAATCACAGACCGACCTAGCCAATGAAAGTGCTCTC